AGGATTAGGATTAGGATTAGGATTAGGATTATTAGGATTATTAGGATTATTAGGATTATTAGGATTTGTGTTATGCACATTCTCCAGTGGCGCACTTACATGACTCATTCTGCCGGTTTAATATGATAACCATGTCACTGCTTAGCCCCAGCCATTGCCATGGATGATGGGGGTTATTTAGTCCAACAAATCCCATCATCCTTGGCGATTGACTGTCCTGGGTGATGTGGAGGGGAGCTGGGATCCAGAGACGTCCCAAAGGAGAACAGCGTGTGTCTTCGTTTGGTTTTTCTGTGTTGTGGACTTTTGTGTGTTGTGAGACCCTAGGACTATATGATCCATCGTCCTGTCCCTCACAGGACCCAACCCCGTACCCCCAGGAAGCTGGCGGGCAGAGCCTGAGGGACACAGCGCCCCCTTCTCATGTGGTCCCGTGGGGGGGACTGGTTTTCAGAGGTAGACTGCCTCCAAAGCTGGAGGTTTCATTGGGGGGGGCGGACTGCAACTTAAAGAGCTGTGTTGCCTCAGATGAAAGGCCTTCTGTGGATGGGGAGGAGTTCTTCCGGGGAGGTTGGACTACAGATCCCAAGAGCTGAGCGAAGTGTGAAGGGTAATGGGTGTTGTAGTCTATGAATATCTGGAGCAGCACCCCTTTTCTGTTCCTCTGCTAAAAGCCCTTGCAGCTTCCGTTGCGCTGTTCAGTGTTGGGTCCCCAAGACAGAGAAGTTTGACTCTGGGAGATTCAAAATATCCCATCATCCTGTCCTTAGGGTCGCGGCCGGCCTGCCTGCCTTCGTCTCAGTTAGCCACAGATGTAGCATCCTCTGCTCAAAAGATTTCACGCGCTGAAGTTAATAACAACAACAATTTTTAAAAAGCACTCTGTGCATGCTCAAAAGCTCTCTTTTATTGCCTCCAAGGCTTGGCCCCTTTCGTCAGAATCTCTCTTCTCTCCCCCCCCCTTCTGCTCCTGGGGCCGATGCTCCTATAAAAAGCACTCTGTGCATGCTCAAAGGCTCTCTTTTATTGCATCCAAGGCTTGGCCCCTTTCGCCAGGATCTCTCTTCGCTCTCCCCCTCCCTCCCTTCTGCTCCTGGGGCCGATGCTCCTAAGAGGGAGGATGCTGCTGCTGTCGGGCTGCAGGGGGGGTGAGTGTGGAGGGACGGCGCGGCGACGTAGCCCATCATCCTCACAAGCACTTGAGGAGGAAGGCGTTGCAGGCAGATCCGCGGGGGCAGTCACACAGCTTCCCGATCCGGGCGCCTTTCCTGACCGCGCAGGGGTCCCCAAAAGAGCACTGCAAGGAAAAGGGTGGAAGGGTTAACACCTTGAACCCCCCCCCCAAAATCCTGGCTCCTTCCCCCCTTGTTTTGCTGGGCAAATAGACCATTTTTCTCGGGTGGGTGGGGAGGTTGGGAGAAATCAGGGCTAGGAGGCAGGGTGGTCTAGTGGTTAGAACGCCCATGTTCTAGTGGTTAGAACACGGGTGGCGGAACGACCCTTCTTAGCTGTGGATGATGGGTTTTGGAGTGCTCTGGCCACCTCGCCGATTGGATCGGGGCAGGAATTGGCCGTTTCTGTCGTTCCCCCGAGCCAGCTTTGCAAATGCCAGCAGTGGTTTGTCCAGCAAATCCTGCCTTTGGGTTTGGAGTGTTAGACAGTGCTTAGGGGTGGGGTGCCCCGGGTTCAAATCCTTGCTCTCAGCTGTGACGCTGGCTTGGCGTCTCTCTGTCTGATCTACTTTGCAAGGTTGTTTGTTGGACCAGAACAGGATTTGTAAGTCTTCCCTTCCCCTCACCCCCCGGCAGGAGAGAGGGCTGGGATATAAACGGCTAAAGTTCCAGGTCTTGACTGGGAATCTAATATTTATGACGACTCTCAACTACAACGCAAGTTTGATGTATTATATTTCTATCTTATTTTCTCTCTGGATCCTTATCGTAGACCAGCAACGTCTCCTTGTGATAGAGCATGGCCTTTTTAAACACCGCATGAATTCGAACTCGGCTCTCCCCTGTCAGAATTTAAGTCCTCCACCTTCTAAAGTCCACCCTTTCTCTGGCTGACAAATGGCCCGTCTTTGAACTAATCAGTGATAATTAAATTGTGTTCCACCGCATCGAGGCTTCAATATCCGTGCCCTTTGGAGAGCACGAAACGGCCCGAGGGTTCGCCAGATTTAAATAAAAACATGCCCGTGACGGATGAGACAAAATGATTCTTTTAATTGGTTCTGTTTTTTTTTTAAAATCCTTCTTACTGTCACAGCCAAGCTGAAAGAACCCTTAAAAAAACAGACGGGCGTCTGGTTTTTCATATGAGAAAATGCCCCGTGTCGCCACTTAATCAACTAAAATGTGAGTTGATTAATCTTGCTGTCCAGACGGCCCTCTAAAGCTGCGGCCGGCATCACGAAACAGAAGCATTTCGAGATTTGCCCCCTGAGACGTCGCCTCTGGATATCGTGCAACCACGGTAGTGTAATTAAGGCAAACGGCTCGTTAACGTTCCAATCAGAACCAGAGGTCTTGTGTTAGAAATAATGGTTTTCGGAGAAGCACGATGGTGCTTTACTCGGCAGCAAAATTAATACAGGGAAAGAGTGTCTGTGCTGAAAATTAATTCTGCACCAGGGATGGGAAATAGGCCTTTTCCAGATACTGGACTACGACGCCCATCATCCTTGGCTATTATCACCAATGTTAGCTGCACCCCAGAAACATCAGGCTCCTTATCTGCCCCCACTGTTTCCATTCCAGTGACCCTAATAAAGCAACTGGCCCGCAGTGTTGTGACGGTAGACTGCCCCTGTCCACAGAGGCTCTTCTTAGCCCTCCCAGTTACGAAATCGAATCTGTCAATTTCTTCTGCCTTTTAAAGTCCTCGCCGACAAAACTTTGCCAAACTCCATAAATTAACAATGAGATGAAGCACTTAATTTTTTTTTTCTCTCTCTCTGTTTCTCTGTCCAGGGTATCAGATAAGCGCCTGGCTGCCTTGAACCAGGATTTTTTTTTAAAAAAAAAAACAACGTATATTTTTGCTGCTTGTGCTGAATAAGAAATGAGGCGTCCGGGATGAGGTAGACGAAGAGAAAGCTCCGTCCACTAATTCAGTTTTGGCCACGGACCGATGCAGGCGTGTAAGCCTCTCTAAGCCTCAAAGTCCCTCCAAGCTGGGGGGGGGGATCTCCTTTGGCGGGGGGCTTTTGCCCCTCGCCTGCACATTGAAAATGGAATGATTAGTTGTTTTCGGGAAAAAAACATTTTTTTCGAAGGAAACGTGGTTCCGGATTTTCGGTGGTTCTTAACACTTAAGAAATATCTCAGAAGAAATGGCTATGAAATCTCTCCGAAACCCCATCCGGTCTCCTGGGCTGGCTGGTGCTCTCAGGTACACTGCTCCTGGAAAGAGAGGCTCTACCGCTAGCTTTAAATCATTAGATTTAGCCTCTGTGCTAAGGGAATACATCAGTTGCCCGTGTATTCTGCTTTTCTCTCTTCCCAACGATCCTGCAAGGTGGATCGGGGTGAAAGAGAGAAACGGGCCCGTGTTCGTCCAGTGAGCTTTTTGAAATGGCATCTCCCCAACATTGTATTCACCAGCTATCACCAGTAGACTGTACTGCCTCTTCCCGTTTGTTTCTGTGGGTCAGAGGGGCATCGTTTCTGGGTCGCCAGAGAGACGCTGAGCTGTTCAACAGAAATACGGGACGCCACCCTGGTTTGAATGTGACGTATAGAAAGCGCGGGCGCTTCCCGACGACGGCTAGGCTGCCGTGACCCTCAAAACCTTACCTTGGGGACCTGGTTGAATTTCTTCTCCCAAGTGGTGATTTTCTTATGCTGTAGCTTCTCCAGCACCTCCTGCAATTCTTCCAGCTGGTGGCAGAGAGAGAGAAAGAAAAAAAAAAAGAAATACAGTATATATTGGAATTATTTCAGCCAGAAAGTTCGGCACCTTAGATGGGGGTCCGATAAAGTTCAGACTAAAAAAAATGGTGCGGATATGCGACCCTCGCTCTGAAACTTGAGCCACTGGCCATGGAGGTGGCCGCACGATGCCCCTTTCTGCTTCACGAGGCTGGTGCTCAGAGATAGACTGCTCCTGTAGACAGAGGCTCCACTTCTTGCAAACCTGGATGCGTGTTATTTGTAACGTCTCGGGAGGATTCGACAACTGGGAATCGCAGGGGACTGAGGGCCCCCTAAAACAGTGATGTCGAAACCGGGGAAGGGAAAGGTTTGATTCCGAGTGGCTTTGGGACCGTCCTTTTTTTGGTCTCCACCTGGCCTCCCTTGCAGGGCTGGCGTGAGAAAAGGAGGGGAGAGGAGAGCCACACGGACCAATCTGAGCCCTTTGGAGTAGGGGCGGCCGGGTGTGTGTGTGTGTCAGGTGGCAAATGGAATGGGGGATAAAAGCAACCTGGAGAAAGCATGAAAAATATTCCTTTCCATATCAGCGACCAGTCGGTGCTGGAAAACTCCCCCTTTCAGGTGCCTAAGTGTGAAGAAACAGACACATCGCCATGTTATTAATCTAAGCCAGAGTCGTAACTGAGCGTCTCCTCTGGAGTAAGTCAAATCTAGCGCCCCCCTACCCCACCCCGAGCGACAGGGTCCGTGTGACGCGCCAAACTCACTTTGCCTTTGACTTCTAAAACTTCAAACGGGGTTCAGAAGGCAGTGCCTGCCTGGAGTTTTGTATCATTAGAAAATCTGCTTAAAAGGGGAGCAGGAGGGAGATCCCCTATGGCTGCCCAATTTTCTTTGCTCCTTTTAAATAATGATAATATATAATCTTAGAACGGCAGAGCCGGAAGAGGGACCCGATGGATCGTCGGAGCCAGCCCCTAGGAAGGAAGAACCGTGGGATGATCTTAGAACGGCAGAGCTGGAAGAGGGACCCGATGGATCGTTGGATCCAGCCCCTAGGAAGGAAGAACCGTGGGATTCGAACACCCAACCTCAAGCCCTCTGCTGTCTTCTCCCCGGATGACGTCTAAAGGCAGTTTCCGTTACTCACCAGCTCCTTTTCACGCCCTTGGTAAGAGTGCTTGAAGGGGTATTCTCGCGGGGGGCGGTCGGCCGCCACCAGCCCCCGGTCGGCCGCCCCGATCAGGCAGAGGAGAAGGACCACAGACCCCAAGAGAGGCCACCGACCCATGGCCGAGCGATGCTGTTCCCAAGGCCAACAATAGGAAAAGGGAGCTCTCCGTGGTGCTGAGCGGTCAAACCCTCCTGCTCTCTGTCCTCTCCGGAGAAGCAACTGGTCAGCCTGCCTGCCTACACAGAACGCCGAGGAGGAGGAGGAGGGAGCTGGGCCTTTCTCTTGATCCAAGCAGAAAGGAGGTTCTCCTCCTGATCCCCCCACCGGAGTTGTGCGCTTTTCGGAAAACTAGAACAACCAGGGGAAGGAGAAGCCGGACCCCCCGCCCCAAGGCTGGCGCCGAGCGAAAGCGGACTGCCGGTTGAATATTTATGAGCGCCCTCGGCTCTCTTGATTGCGATTTGGCAAAGGGAAGCGAGGAGGAATTAAAGGGAGCAAAGGAAGATTCATCCATCAACTGGGACGAGGCCCAGCTTTTGCTGGCGGGCAAGAAAAAAAAAAAGCTTGGCGGATGATCTCACCCCCCCACCCCACCCTCTTGGCCGCGGGCGGCTGGATTTCTCATTTGCCCGTCTCGGCCCATCCCTGTAATGATCCCACCGTTTTGTGCGGTTATTATTAGAATTAATCATGGCCACAGAACCATCTCATGGCCCAAAGCACTTCGCCCAAAAATCTTCATTTTCTTTCCTTATTGCTGTTTCCACCGCTCTGGTGTAGGATTTTGGAGGCACCTTTCGTGTAAAGAAAGGACAGGAGCGGTGGGTGTTATGTTTTTGCCTTTTAATTTGATTTTATATGACCCCCATATTCCCCTGCATTGGATAAGCCGGTCCTTGAAAGAATATTGTTCTCATACATTGTCAGACATCTCAAGGGGGTGTGATCTTATAGTCCGGCAGAAAAGCACGATGCAGATCTTTGGAAGTCAATACAGGCAGCGTGGGATAGTAGTTGGAGCATCATCCTGGGGAGACCTAGGCTTGCTTCTTAGCTTAACTATTTTAGAATATTCCTGTCCCACTCTGTACTTCCAGATTTTGGGTGCTGCGCCTTGCCGATCCATGAATCCGATCCTCATCAAGTCCTGATCCGGCCCTTGGGGTTTCATCCTATGGCCGCATCCCCAATCCTGTCACTATCATTTCATCGTTTTCTCGATGTTGCATGAGTTTGTCCTCATTTTAAGACGTTAAGGGCCCTTGCAGCTTTAAGCTAAATATATTCCATAATTTTTCATTCTGTCCACCATCGACCTATAGCTCCTCATTGCCTCGAAAATGAAAGCTCTAGCTGAAAAGAGACACCCGCACGGCAGGCAGAAATGCAGCGGGGGAAGCTTGGCAGACGGTGGCATCTCTGGGGAAAGGGGAACGCTTAACCTGTTGAATGTCGGCTTCTCTGGCTTAGAGTGCAGCTGCGAAGGAAGGAAGGAAGGAAAAAGATGATGGATGGATGGATGGATGGATGGATGGATGGATGGATGGATGGATGGATGGATGGATGGATGGATGGATGGATGGATGGATGGATGGATGGATGGATGGATGGATGGATGGATGGATGGATGGATGGATGGATGGATGGATGGATGGATGGATGGATGGAAGGAAGGAAGGAAGGAAGGAAGGAAGGTAGGTAGGTAGGTAGGTAGGTAGGTAGAAGTTTTTATAATAGTTGCTATAGCTTTACGCTGGGACTAGGGGTAAAGCTGAAGGGGGCCAGTACAAGTTGGAAAAAAGAAAAACGTAATGCCATCCTGAATTTAAAGCAAGATGTGATTCACCCCGGTGGCATCAAAATGCATCCGTGTTCTCAAACGGATAGAGAGCAAACGAGGCAGGACACATCTCCTGTTTCTGTACTGTGGGCGGGGGGAAGGGTGGGTTTATTGTGCTTTATTGTAAGCAGCCTGCAGGAAAAAGAATCTGGTTTTAAAAGTCTGGCTTATAAAATGGTGGTTGTGGATCGGTGCCCCGAAGTTGTTTCCGGCTCACGGCGACCCTATGAATGATCCGGTTCTCAAACGGCTTTGCTCAGCTCTTGTGAGCTCACACCTGTGGTTTCCTTGAGGGAGTCCGTCCATCTCACCTTTGGCTTTCCTCTTTTGATGGTGGTTGTGGATCGGTGCCCTGAAGTTGTTTCCGGCTCACGGCGACCCGATTCTCAAACGGCTTTGCTCAGCTCTTGTGAGCTCACACCTGTGGTTTCCTTGAGGGAATCCGTCCATCTTGCCTTTGGCTTTCCTCATTTCCTGCTGCCTTCCATTATAAGATTAATGCCTCTAAAAAGCCCCTCTCTCATCCACAGCAAACAGCCTTAGCTTCCCGACCTGGGAAACCAACCCAATGGTCCCTGTTCTTTCCGTTTAAGCCTGTTGGGTCCATTTCTTACGGCTCCTGCCGTTTTCTTCTCTCCCCCAAAACGCAGATCAAATTGGGCTTTCCTCTTTTCCTGCCGCCTTCCATTATAAGATTAATGCCTCTAAAAAGCCCCTCTCTCATCCACAGCAAACAGCCTTAGCTTCCCGACCTGGGAAACCAACCCAATGGTCCCTGTTCTTTCCGTTTAAGCCTGTTGGGTCCATTTCTTACGGCTCCTGCCGTTTTCTTCTCTCCCCCAAAACGCAGATCAAATTGAGAGCGAAATCGGAACGCGCCACCGTGAGGGCTGTAAAGCGGGTCTCGCTTTGGCCTCGCCTGCCCTATCGGGGCTGCTGCCTGACCCATTTCCCCTTCCCCTCCCTTCTTCGGACATGGGTAGGATTACATAACAGGCCAAGCTTAATCCCGGCTTCTCGTTTGGGGAATCCGGATTAATCGCCCATCCGGCTCAGAGAAAGGAAAGGAGGCTTTTGAAGCGGGCAATACTGAGGCTGGTGGATGGGGCCCTTTAGAAAACAAGATGGAAATTAGATGGTGTGAAAATCTCCCGGAGCACTGTTATGGATTCTGTCTAGTTTATGATGTTATTTTTATCTTATTTCTGGTTGAGTTGGCTGCATTTATTGACTATTTATTTAAAACATGCTTGAATCGAGAACATTGCCATTGAGGTAGAGCATGGAAAATAGTAACTTTTTTTGGGGGGGAGGACAGCAACGGTCAGGTGTTCTGGAGGGTAATGATCCAGATTTTTCCCAAACGCTGGGTCGACATCATCTTTGAGGGCTGGGCCTGGCCAGGAGCGAATGCGGGAGAAGCCGAGGCGCGTGGCTCTCTCGAAGGCGAGAAATCTCAAAAAGCCCTCATCAGATCGAGGCGGGAGGAAGACGAAGCCTTCCTTACACCCCTTCGAGGGAGGCTCGGAGGCTCTGTCCTCGGACAGCAGAGACAGAGGGGTAAGCATATGGCAGCCAAACTGTAGGTTTGATGCCCAGCCTCTACACCAGGCCGTTGTGAGTTCAAGTCCAGCCCCTGTCAAGGACGCACCTCCGGTTGGGAGTTCGATTCCTCGCTGGGCCTCCTTGACAAGGGGTGGACTCGGATGATCCAGAGGGTCCCCCTTCCAGCTTCCCATGAAAATCAAGACACCCCAGAATTCCAGTCCTTTCTTAGAGATGCTTTGCGACGTGGATCGGCCTTGGAAAAATCAGGCCATCTGGGGCAAACGGTCCTCGTCGGTCGAGGATCTCCCCCTCGATCCAGGTCGCTACATCTCATCCGCGTGGCTTTGTTTTCCTGGGTCTCTGTCCCGTTCGGCCTCGTCCGGGAAGGCCGCCCGCCCTTCCTTCGGTTCCGTCTGGGATGCCTTCGGCCCCTCCGGGGCGGTGGCGTTCCTGAGGCCCCGTTCTCCGAGGACCGAGGGCTTCCTGTCACCCGAGCCAAGGCCCTCCTGGCGCAGCTCCGTCTGAAGGACGGGCCGTTCGGGGTCGCCAGGGGCCGGGCTGGGCTCCTCCGGATCGGAAAGGCCCCCTTGGTTCAGGATGTTCCGAGAAATCACTGGGGGGGAGAGAAAGAAGCGTTAATCATGTTGGGGTTCTTCGTACAGCGACGGTATGACCGTCCACTATGAAGTAGGGAATAGACTGCCTCTCTCCATTGAACTCTCCCTGATTTCCTCCCCGGAGAACCTGTTGCCTGTTCACTCCGTCTCTTCCTCCCTCTCCCCCTCCATCTCCTCTTTCTACCCCCTCCTCCTGGGCTATAGGGTACCTCTAGAGGGTTGGTAGCCCTCCTGGTGGATCCGGCTCCCGCCCAGCAGGGAGGTACAACTCGGCAGGATGAAGAGCCCGAGGGAGACGACGAGGATCTGCGAGGAAGAGGGAGAAAATCAGGGGTGGCGGAAGGGTTTGATCGGCGGAGATGATGGGTTGGGACTACCATGCCCATCCTCCCCTACCCCATTCTGGGGAGGATGGGTGTTGCAGTATTGGGGCCTTTTTCTCCCTGACCTTAATCTGCACATATTTAAGACGGGTGGGCTGGGATGGGGAGTGTGTGGCCCTCCCACCCGGCACTTGGAGGCCCATCAGCCCCAGTTTTGTGCAGCCAAAGCAGAAGGACGATGGGACTCGCGACCTGAGAGCATCTTGATGCCTGTGGGTTCTTCCTCTCTGCTCCCGAGCTGTTGGCCTACAAACCCCATCGTCCCCCCCCTTGAAGCACGCTGGGTTTTCAGCCCACCCCTCTGGAAGGCGCCCCACAGAAATGGAAGATGGAGCCCCAGCGTTGGACCCACGGCCGGCATGAGGCCCCCCCAGCTCTCCCCCTCCGTTCTCCCTCCCACCAGCACCCCAGTTACCAAGAGGCAGGAGCTGGTCTGGACGGCCTTGGTGGAGGTCTGTTTGATGAGTTTCTGAAGACTTTGCAGCTGGTCCAGAAGCGATCTGCCCAGAGAAGCCCTAGAGTCACGCCCGAGAACGAGGGTCTCCCTCCTCGGATTCTCCGACCCAGGGGTCTCTCCCTCTCCCCTCCCCTGGATGTGGGACATAGAGGCGCTGAGGGCCTTGTCAAAGAACCAGGGCAGAGAGCTTTGAAATGGATTTGAGAGTACGTGTGCGGCCACGCAGAGGAGAAGAAAAATAATTTCGTCGCAAATGAATGCGGGTCTCTCTAGCTAGATTGAGCCTCCAGGTCCAGGAGCAGTCTACCTACATGTATCCGCTTCAAGGATTCAGTCATTGGTCTTAGGTGGGCTTCCTGCAAACCTCTTGCTGCCTTCTGTTAGATACAGTGGATGCTGGCATAGACAAACTCCCGGCTTGTTCCAAACTGTTATTACTTATTTATTATTATTTCGTTTATTTTTTGAAGGATGCTTTCCCCTGGAATAGATCGGGGGGGAGGGGAAATAGGGAGCCAGGACTCCTGGGTTCTCACACTGGCAGCAGAAGCCAGGTCTGTGGGAGGGGAAAGAGGTAATTGTCAACTCACACGTGGTGTACTTCCAGTTCATGGACTTTCTTCCTCAGCTCCTGGTTTTGAGCCGAACATGCAGCCACCCTGCCAAAGGAAAAGCCAAAGCCGTTACCTTCCCCTGGATTCGAGAAAGTTACTTTTTAAAAAGGGATTCATTGCAGTTACCCATTGGAGGCCTCAAAAGCAGTCAGTTACCATTCTAGTTACAATTTTCAAAAAGTAACTCTTTACTTTCATGTGTTCTCAACAGTAGCAGAAATAGTTACCTGGTGTTACTTTATTTTAAAAGGATTATGCTCACCGGCTCTCCAGCCCATCTATGTACTCTTTCTTGCGCCGACGGCTGTCCTGAGCGGATTGTTTGTTCCGGATTTTCCTCCGAACTTTCTTCAGGATCCTTTCCTCCACCGGCGTGGAGCAAAAGAGGGAAAAGGGGGCCTCAGTAAATCCTTTCCCATGTGGACTGTGCAAAAAGTGAGCTAGAAAAAGAAGGCAAAAAAAAAAAAAAAGTCCTAGCTAAACAGATTTACAGGGACAACTGGATTCAAGACATAGACTGTAGCCGTTCTGAACCTTATGGACCTCTAGATGCTGGGCCTTTCCTCCACCGGCGTGGAGCAAAAGAGGGAAAAGGGGGCCTCAGTAAATCCTTTCCCATGTGGACTGTGCAAAAAGTGAGCTAGAAAAAGAAGGCAAAAAAAAAAAAAAAGTCCTAGCTAAACAGATTTACAGGGACAACTGGATTCAAGACATAGACTGTAGCCGTTCTGAACCTTATGGACCTCTAGATGCTGGGGACTACACATCGATGTACTCTTTCTTGCGTCGGCGGCTGTCCTGAGCAGATTGTTTGTTCCGGATTTTCCTCCGAACTTTCTTCAGGATCCTTTCCTCCACCTGCGTGGAGCAAAAGAAGGAAAAGGGGGCCTCAGTAAATCCTTTCCCGTGTGTACTGCCCAGGTAGTGAGCTAGACAAAGAAGGCAAGAAAAAAAATGTCCTAGCTAAACAGATTTACAGGGACAGCTGGATTCAAGACATAGACTGTAGCCGTCCTGAACCTTATGGACCTCTAGATGCTGGGGACTACACATCCTATCAGCTGGTATTGTTGATGGTAAAGGCTGCTATGTTGAGATCTGTTCCATCCACACTGTGGAAACTTGCATGTCATCAGCTGGTATTGCTGATGGTAAGGGATGATGGGAGGCTGCTATGTTGAGATCCGTTCCATCCACACTGTGGAAACTTGCATGTATCTGACTCCGGTTTCAGCAGTGATACGAATCCATTCCAGGTTTTACTTTCTGTTCCCCCTGAGCTCTCCAAGGTGTGAACCTGTTTTGAGTATCAGGCCAACTTCAGCACCTCGGACAGCTCTTTCTTTAAAAGGCAAGCTTAAAACCTGGAGTGGATCGGCAGCCTCTCCGAAACCGGAGCCACTGTTGCTTTGCTCAAGGAGATACCTTCGTGAGGGGCAGGCCACTGCACAGCGAGACGCCCTCTTGGCTCAGGAGCCGCTTCTCCTCATCTGTCAGGTAGAAGCCCGTCAGGTGCAGCTGCTCCGATGCATCCTGCCCAACACAGAAGCCAAATTCTGGTCGTGAAGAGTGTTCTCGCCTGCCCTTTTCGCCATCATCATTTGCAACCCTGTGAGACCGGTCTGTTTCTCTAAAGCTTCTTCCGCTGTTGTTCTGGATTGGCCGGCAAGAGGGCCCCCATGCATGCACAGAGTGCCTTTTCCTCCAGCCAGTCTCCAGGCCTTTGAGGGGGTTACAAACAAGCATGAATGTTCCAGAATTTGGGGGGAAAAATTAATGGATTACATTCCCGCCCCCCAGCCAGCTTGGCCATAGGCAGGGGCTTCTGGGAGTTGTAGTAAAATAACTCTAGAAAATGTGTTTAATATGGTGTGTTTTCAGGAGATCTTAATAGCTGGTGTGCTAGTGCCCCCCTGTGGTGAAAGGAGAGAACTGAAGAGCCACCAACCAGGCCCAATCAGGAAGCCTGTGGAAGCAATTGGCTGCTGCCGCAGGTCATGTGATCCCTAAACCCCCTATAAAGTGTGTTTTCAGGAGATCTTAATGGCTGGTGTGCTAGTGCCCCCCTGTGGTGAAAGGAGAGAACTGAAGAGCCACCAACCAGGCCCAATCAGGAAGCCTGTGGAAGCAATTGGCTGCTGCAGGTCATGTGATCCCCAAACCCCCTATAAAAACATCCAGGGATTTTATCGCACAGAACGAGAACTCGTCTTTCTGCCTTTGATGTTGGTCTGATAATCAAGATTTTGGTTCAAGGGTTCCTCAGCCTTTCCTGAGCCCTGAAACATCTTAATTCTTCCACACGTTACTAATAAAGATTTTCTGGTTTGTGTTTTTGGACTACAGCTCCCATCATCCTTCAGGGAACTGCGGTCAGAGAACCCCCCCTCCCCTTCAGTAGATCCATCATTCCTGCTTACCTGGTCTCTGGGGATTTCCACGGCGTGGGCTCCGTTCTCGGAGAGGCTGGGAGACAGTTCGTTCATAACACAGGTTTCGGGGAGCATGGTTTGGGGTGGCCAGTTCTCTGTTGGGGTGGGAAGCCAAAGAAAGAGTCAGGGGTGAGCTTCGGGGACTGGCGGACATGATCTGAATACATGTCTTCCCTCGTCCAGAAGCAAGAAAAGAGAAACTTTTTTTTTGAGAGTTTAGAAAAGTTTTGCTTGAAAGGGAGACTACAGGTCTCACTTAACCACGGCTGCTGGGTTATTCTCGGAGCTATTGTCCAGAAAAAAAAAATGTAACTTTAGCTAATCTCTGCCTATTTAAAGCTCGCCCAAATTGCTTCCCACCAAGGTTGGTGAGAACGACAGGGCCTTTTTGATGGTGGCCTCGTCCATTTGCAATAAATTCCCCTCCAGCGTTTCTCAGGTCCCTCCTGCACTTTAATTTTGGGAATATTTTGCAGATCCACGAAATCATGAACCAGCTTTTTCGTCAACGCTTTTCTGAGGTTGCTGGATACCAGCAAGATCCATGTTTACCCATCGTGGTAGCACGATGGCATTTTATCTTGCCTGTCAATGCGCCTCTCGAATGCGGCTGGTACCGAGGAAAGAGAAGTTCCTTCCGAAGGCTTTGCAGGCGTTTACAAAGTTCTTCGTCTTTGGGGCAGAATTAAAATCATCTGCATTCAGGGAACAGTAGAAAAGACCGGTGGTCTCCACTCCCGGTCGATCTTAGAGGTGGCCGGGTGATATTGGATGGATAGAAATCAATGGCCTTTTTTTTTTCAAAACCAAATTGATTAAAACCAAAATAGGAATCCTGATTTAAATTTTCTAAAAATCATATTTTTAGTTCAATTAAAAAAACACACACCAATTTTTAAAATTTAATCCACCCTGTCTGGGAGCCCTCCCCACTTACCAAGGGGGCTTGAGAAGGCCGGCTCTAGTGTTTCGGCTTCCTTCACAAAGCCCATGTCACAGATCACTTCATAGATGACGGTGGGGGATGGATCTGGGGCCCCCGATTCGTGGGGCAGCGGTGTGTCAGCACAAGGATCCTCAGAGATCCCGCTGTCACTCTTGGGAGAGGCAGTCGGACCCTGTGAATCGTAGAGGTCCGGGGGGTGGATCAACAACTGCAAGAAATCCTCGGCGCCACCATCGTCTGGGTCCTGCAGAAGAAGTATGACATAAATACAGGTTTGGAGGATGTGGATTCAAATGGCGATTAATGATTTGTTGCTTTTATGTCCTGCTCTACAGCCGGGATGGCTCTCGGAGTTATTTTCATATCGGCTATTAAAAAAAATAAAAGACAACGGAGCCTCTGCTTGCAAGCTTTCAGTTGAAAAAGTCACAGCACAAAAGGAAAGAGCGGCGCGGTGGGAAGAGGAAAATGAGGAAGCTCGGACACTGTTCCTGGAAGTGATGAGATTTCTCAATCTGGTGGAGAGGCTACTGGACGAAAACCAAGGGGGAGGCAAAGCTCAACCGAGCTGGCTTCTGGGAGCGAGGTGGGAACGGAGGATGGCCGTTTTTTCTTTTCTTCATTCCTCCCACCCTGACAGGAAGGGTAGCTGGGTAGGGCATGGCCCTCTTTTTCTGTTGCCTCTCTGAACTCACCTGCACCATGCCGGCCGGCCAGGTCTCGTAGGCGCATCCGTAAGCGTGGTCTTGAAGCGGGCAGCTGAGTTTGGGATCGGTGGTGGAGACATTTTCATCCTGGCCTTCGAAGAGGACATCCAGAAGAGGGGAGCAGCTCGGCTCCATGATCTGGATGGGGATACACAGACCAGAATTTTAACTTGGTAACTCCCCCCCCCCTGCAGGCCTTTAGGATTTCAGATCCTCTCCCCCAGGAGCCCATCCTTCCTTGATGCTTACCTTTCCTGTATCTGGGGCAGAGGGGTTCCCGTCTCCCCAGACACCTGTTCTGCACCCAGCCTGCAGGGAACCAGGAAGCTCCAGAGCGGCTGTTGTCCAGGATCCTGGCATCCTGGATCCACCTGGCGAAAGACCCACCCACAGGCCTCCGAGGGACCAATGGGAAAGAGGCCTGAGGGCGGCCAGGTAAGCTGGCACACCTGTCTGGGCCAAGAGCCAGGACATTAAAGCGCAGTCGCCTGCATCGCCCCTTGGGTGCATTTTCACTCCAGGGGAGCAGGCTTTTAAAAATTCAGGAACAGGTAGGTCTGGGGCAATGAAGCCAAGAAAACATTCTGTTTCGTATTTATGGGTTTGTTACAGTACATGAACGCCCTGCCGTGTTGTTTTATTTTTTTTCAATTTTGTTCTGAGCTGCCTTGACTCCCAGGTGGGGGAGAAAGGCTGGAAGGGAAGGGAAATCAGAGATTTGAAACAACAACAACAAAACAGTTCCTGGAATTTTTGAAAAGGGCCTGGTTTCATCTCTCCGAGCGTCTCAGATAAAAAGCTGAAGCCCAAACTAAGTTGTATACAAAATGTTTGGACTTCTTATATTTTAAGGTTAGTTTGTAGCTATGAAATATTACTGTTTATATTTTAAGGTTAGTTTGTAGCCATGAAATATTACTTTTAAAAAGCATATTTTAAGGTGCTACGTTATTGTGTTTTATTTTTGTATTTTATTTTTATTGTTGGCCTTTTTTGTGTTTTTTTCTTAATCTTTTGTTCCATAAGGTCCCAGAGTAGGAATTGAACTCAGGACTGCCCAACCCAATATAACTGCATTTAATTACTCCGTTACGTTTCAGTTCCATGTTTATTTCTGCCTCCTTTACAGATTATTGTATATATTTGTGTGTGTGTGTGTGTCTGGGGTGTCTTTTAATTGTATCGTTGAATGCAAAAATGTGTTAGAAGTGATTTTTAACAAACTTGGAAAAGAAAAAAATGTTTCTAGATCTTTCTGATCTTTTAATTTATTTTTAACCATCATCATCATCATCATCATCCTGGAACTGCTGATCTGGAAAGGGCCCAATAGCTGGCAAGCCTTGGTTGTTGTTATATGTACTTGTTGTGTAAACAAACATAAAAACTCTTCTTCCCCAAAGCTAAACGGGGGGATATAAAGAGTTAATAATTGGCGCTTCGTTATTGGCTCAGAGCCGCCGCTAATCAAGCAGCCGCCCTTCCCTTTCCCGTGTCCCCATTGGCTGACAAAGCTTGCGGGCGGCTTCTCTATCTCCCCGCCCACTTTGGAACGTCCAGACACTGGCCGGTTCCCAATTGGCTAAGGGAGCGCCTCTCATCTCCGCTGCGCCCCGCCCCTTTCGAACGCTCCGCAAACAAGGCCCTGCTTCCGATTGGCCGGGCGCCTTCCTGTTTCTTTCCCCTCTTTCTTTGTTAACACTTCCCCGCCTTCGCTCCGCCCCTTTGGAACGTCCGAACAGGCTCGACGCGCGTTCGGGGTCCGCCCGGGGGGAGGTGAGTTGCGTGATCCAGGATTGGGCCCGGAGAAGGGGGAAGCAGGATCGGGCCCTTGGCTTTTAGGGGAGAGGGCGGCCACGTGGCCGCCCCTAGAAAGGGAAAACTGGGCCGGGAGGAAGTCCCATTGACTTCCATGAGACTTACTCCCAGGTAAATGTCAGCCTAGGGTCGGTCGCCCCAGTTTCGGGGAAAAAACCGAGCAAGAGGGTCCCAGGAGCAACGAGAATCTAATTAAATTAAAAAAACTGTCGGTTTGCTCTAACTACAGTTCCACTCATCCCCAGACTGGATGGGGGATAATGGGAGTGGGAACTCCCCTTGCCTGGCTGGAGGTAAGGGGAGTAAGGAACTCATCTGGAGGGGACGGCTCGCTAAACTACAGCTCCTATCATCCCCTTACTGGCTGGGCGTGGGACCCCACCCAGGGGAGGGGGCCCGGTTGAAGGAGGATGATTGTTGTGATCCAAACAAGGAGGACTTAGCCTGCAGAGGAGACAGAGAGGTAGAGCTCTCGGTGGGTGTTTTAAATTCGTTTTCTTGACATGTCAGAGCTGGGGGCCATCCCATAATATGGGGGACAAGGTAACCCTCCTCCTGGGTTAAAACAAGCTTGGCAAAGGGGGGTGTTCCCATAATCCCCCCCCCGAAGGGACACCGTTGTTGGACCACTGAACTTGGGGGCTGGCGTCTCTGTGGGCCAGATTCTGACCTGGGTGGGCCATATCAGACTGTGAACCCAGAGCTTGGCCAGTGGAACTCCCAGCCACAAGGTGTGATGCTTACCCCTGTTCCCATAAATAGCTTTTGAATGGAGATGAGGCAGCGAGATTGGGGAGGGAAAATCAGTGTTACCGATCGTGACAACCATGGGAATTCTGTGCATATTTACCTGGATGTAAGCCCCATGCGATTCAATGGGGTTTCTTCCCCAGTTGGTATGTATGGGGCACTCTGACAACTAGACTCATTGTCTGATCCATAGCGAAGGAATGTACATTTTGGGGACCTTACAACACCCATAATTCTATACTGGTAGGGATTATGGGAACTGTAGTCTGTCAGAGTTGACTTTTTCCAAGTGCTGATGTGATCTAGGGGGAAATGGTTTAATTTGTTCATTTAATATATGATTTATTTTAAACACTTTCTACTGGAAGGGGGTGTCTTGGGTGTTCAAGTCCCAGCATCCCACAGACAGCCTGGGGCGTGGTGCATTGTGGGGGTTGTAGTCCAAAACATTTTCACCCCTGTATTTATTCCCCTGCCTTTCACATCTGGGAAAAAAAAGAGAGACACGATTCTTGGTTAAAAATATCAAGAGTAAGGGACATGAAACCATATGTTGTGGTGATGGCATTAAATGCACGTCAGGGTATAAACTCTTAATCTTCTGGGCCACTTGATCCTCTGTGTTGTTAGGAGTTCGAACCCTGGCTGTGCCTTCCAGGAGAAGAATTGGCACGCGTGGCCGTGGGTAAACTGCACAAATCGGACATCTCCCCAGAAGGGAACTTCTGAGTACCTTTACTTCCAAAGCCTGAAAAAGGGTTTGTTGTAAATCAGAATTGACTGGACGGCCTGGCGATTGTCACTGTTATTATTATTATTCGGTTAGCAAATGTCTAACCTTTTGCACATCTGAACAGATTTTAATGGTCCCTGGCACCAGCCAAGAAGAAGAGAGCGATCCGCCCATGGTGTGCCACCAAACGGCTCCTCATAGGCATGCTGGCGTTGCCGAATGAGGCATGACGCGGAGCTCTGTGGCCCCTGGCAGCTTGCGCTGTTTGCCTCTAAAACCCAAGCCAGCCTAGAGTCCGTGGCAGCTCTCCTCTCCCTTCTTTCTGCTCCGAGGAGGCAGGGAAGAGTCAAAAGGGAGGGGAAGGAAGGGGGGGCTGGATTTCCTGGAATCCGTGGGCTTGGATGAATCACTGGCTCAGTGACGGGCGCCTTCGAAGTTCCCAGCAAAGAGGTCAAGGGTGACTGGTCTGTGTTACGGTCGCCAGAGATCGGGGGACAGTTCAGAGAGAGGGTCGAAAAGGGTGGCCATTAGAAGGCAAAAATCCTTGTAGGCTGTGGTTCCGTTCTTGTTTATCTAGATTTATTGCCACCTCCCACCTCTCCCCCTTTTCCTGGAACTCGCCATACTCGGGATTAAGCACAAAGTGGCGCCAAGAAATTATTTAGACAGATCGCCAGCTCCATTGCGCCGATTCCTAAGGTCTTTGACTCCTTGAGCTTCTTTAGAAACTGGGGTTCAAGCCGACTCTGTCGCCCATCAGCCCCAGCCAGCCGGGCCAGGGGGTGAGAAGAGGGTGCCTTGCTGGGCGATTTCATTATTTTTCTGAGCGTCATCATCAGCATATATTCATTGCTGTAATATATGAATGTGCGCGTTTGTATGAAATATAGTTTTTTTTGGAATAACGCTACATAGTTCTGGAATGATGAAATGGACCGCTCAAAATCCTGTGTTTATTGCAATAAGTGGCAGACAAAGTGATCGGGAAACAGAGTGAACGGCTACGTAACGCAGGTTGAAAAGCGACGCCGCTCAGTTCAACTAATACATAAGATGGGGAATAAAGCAACATCCTTCAGTTAAAAGGAACAAGTAACGCAGGTTAAAAAGCGACGCCATTCTATTAAACTAAGAGATAAGGTAGTATATATAGTGAACTCATTGAGTTAAGCAGACATGTAACATAGGTTGAAAAGCGACGCCATGCAGTTTACTAACTAACGGTTAGTTGAGCATCTCCTGTGACATTTCTGTTTTGCCTCTTTTTAAAAAGCTGTCAAATGAAATCTGTTTAGGGCAACTCTGGATCTCAAAACGACCCTGTCTTCTGAATTTGGTTTCAGGCAAGGGGCCCCCGTTGAATCCTGCCTTGTGAAATTCCCATTTTCCAACCTCCAGATCTGCTTCCGGCTGCGTTCGGACCGAGAAAGACTGCAAAAAGGCCGCCCCGGGGAGCGAGCCGTCGGAAGGATCGGCCCACCGCCTCGCCACCCTCCCCACGCTCTGAAAAGGAAGGAGCCACGCAGGTTTCAACTGAGTGCTGGGTTCGAGACACGGCTCCGGAGCGATGGCTGAGCTCTTGGGCCAGGAAGTGGAGCTTGAACACCTGGTGTGGGAGCCGTACACCCAGGCGGCGCCTCTCCGCTCCGCCACGGGCTTAGCGGTGAAGCTGGGCTGCCTGGCGTTGCTGCTGGTCGTGACTCTCATCTGTGGCTTCCTCCCGGTCTGGGTCTTCCGTCGGCCACCAGCCGCCACAGGTCCGTCAGATACCACCAGCCACTTCCTTCACTTCCTCCATTGGATTCCCCCACTTGATCCCCAGCTTCCTTCTGGAGCATGCTCTGGATCTGGCAGTCTACAACTCCCATCATCCCCCAGCATTAGAGGACGATGGTTGCTGTAGTATTGAGGCCTTTGTTTTCATTTTTAATCGCCTTTTTTTTTAACCCCCCACCTTTCCCATGTAAACCCAAAAGTACCCCTTCAAGGTAGGCTGCCGGGTTTAACTCTTACAGGGTAGTCCCTTTCTCTGTCGGAACTCGAACTCAGCTCTCCCTGGT